CCAGATCTAGACTTTTTTAAGCCGAGTCATCCAGAAAAAGATGGATGGATGGATGAAATAGAAAGGAGGGATAGGACAGAATAGGATGTAACGATAGGAGAGAATAGAGAAGAAAGATAGGATAGCACAGCAAGGAAGGATAGGAAGGAAAGGATGGGAAGGATAGATAGATAGGAAGGAAAGGATATGAAGGATAGATAGGAAGGAACGGATAGGGATAAAAGGGATGGGATAGGAAGGATAGGATAGAATAAGAAGGGACGATAGGATAGAATAGTAGGATAGGATAGGAAGGATGGATTGAAGGATGGATGGATTTTTCAACATTTTCTCCCTACTCTTGACTTTCTATCAGGATACCATCAGATCGATTTTTATCGAAATTTCAAAACGCCATAACTTCCGAACCGGAAGTCGGATCGAAATTTGGTTTGCAGATTCGTTTGAGAAAATTATATTCTTAAGTTATTCATAACTCAAACGTTAAATTTGGAGATTTTTTTTATTTTGATCTACTTTTTGGACACCCATATCTCAAAAGTGGGTTAAAATACTTTCTGACGGCAAAAGGCTAACACTATTAATACACTCTTGGCTACAAGTATACACAATATCGAAGAATATAATTGAAGTGTAGTGTCAGAATCACAAAAATAAGGAAAACTTTGAATTTGACCTAGACATTTTTGTGTCCAAATTTTGAAGCTAGATTGCTTTTGAGGTACCCTTCATTTAAAGGCTTTCATTAAATTAAGCTGTACTCGGTCGTATATATGTCGTATTTTACACTTCAAAAAAAAAATTTCCCATTGACTTTACATGGGGCACCTTTAGCGATTTTGAGTTTTCAAAACGCCATAACTTCCGATGAGTGTTGGTTTAATGATATTGCAGTTATACAATGCTATTATATAGAGGTTATTTACTGAGAGGGATTCAATATTGGTTTTATTCCGGGAGACATTATGATATTTCCCGAGGGCCCAGGGGGAATCTGGGATTACTGTACCCCTATCAATTTACCTTTTCGGGACCTAAATCCTATTACCTACCTTTTTACTCAATCGGGGAGAACGAATCCAAAGAGAACAATACTTCCACATGTGCGCCGTGCAAAATTTCCAAAAGCTCGTCGTGTTTACCGAGAACGAAAGATGTTTGTCCACCATTTTGAATGATACTAACAGGTATCAGGGTCATCAAGCTATGGAACAGGGGTTTATGAAAATAGATTCTGGGTTACTATAGCTTCCAATGTTAAAGGTGATTGAACTATGTTATAAAACAACTTCCAGTACATTATGATATTTATAAGTATAAATTTTTGAAAATACATATAAAGAATCTTTGCCCACAGGACGTGTATTTTGAATGCCTGAGAAGAACGCAAATGGGTACTGGCCCGGTGTTGCAATAGTAGCATTTAAAAATCTGTTCCTCCCGAGATTTATGGTCTTCTGAAATAATACTATTAATTGGTGTTGTTGCATCATTGCTCAAATCTAGAGGAGTGTTGTTGCATCTTCGGTTTGGTGTTGTTGCATCAATAGTGGGGAACTAAAACCGTGAACTTCTTGCTTCTTGATGATGCTACATGTATACTAATGAGAGTTTCTTTAAATATAGACCGTGCGCTAACTTCACGTGTATGGTTATTGAAAAGCTCGTCCTAGAAATGGGTTTAGATCGGGGAAACAACATATCGTACGAAAATCTATCACCGGAAGTCTGGCCATCTTGATGCAACAACAGGGTGTTGTTGCATCACGATACTCCCCAGTGCAACTGTTCTGACAACCTAAGAGTTCCGAGTTCACATATTTTATAATATCTTAAAATTCATAAGAGAGGGTGCCAAAAGTTAAAAGTGCCACACGATGAAGAAAGAGAGCCAGAAAATGTCGAAAAATTGTCCATTATTAGAAATACGCACCAATTTTTTTCAAAAGGCCAATTTTCCTGAACAAGTTGAGACATACTTAGTATTCCTGAAACTGAGACCCAGTCTACATATATCGATATATTCTGTCCAAATATCCTATTGCTCAGGAGTGTTCCATGGTGCAAAGGTCGAACACCCGGGGATTTGATACTCCTCAATGGGTGCCCTGTTACACTCCCCTCCATAAGTTTGGCAACCTTAGCTCCCCCATTGAACTACGTATTAAAAGCCTCTTTACCTTTGAATTTTTACTTAACCTACCATGAAAATACTTATACTATTAACGGAAACGTAATTTGACTTTATTTCTAATAACTCAACATTTTCTCAATTTTTTCCCTCAATTACAATAAGTTGAAAATTGATGATAAATTTGATATATTTTTGAAAATCGACATTCCCATGTTAACCAATGGGAAATGATAGGTTTGCCGCAAGTCATATGACAGAATATCCATCCATCCGAGTCCTTGCAAAAAATACGAATAAGGCAGGCAATTGAATTTGTTAACTTTATTTAACAAAAAATTGATATGTTTCTTCAGGTTCAACAAAGTTATAGGGCTTTAAAGTCAAAATAGTTTTTCAATAAACCTTTCCCATTGAAATAACTCAGGAGGCGAAAAATTATTTTCAAAAATGACTTTGAAGCGCTGTAACTTTAGTATTCATCAAATAAACTAAACACTTGGTGTACAAAAAAGTTAGACAATTCAATTTTCTATATAAATTTTTTTTGCTGAATCTTTTACTGAAAATATATCCTGATTTCTGATTTGCCCGAACCCTCCATTTCCCATTGAATTACATGGGAATGACGATTTTCAAAAATTCATTAAATTTATCATCAATTTTCGACCTATTCTAATTGAGGAAAAAATTGAGAAATTTTGGAGGTATTGAAAATAAGGTCAAGTTACGTTTCCATTAATATTATAAGTTATCTCATCGCCGGTTAAGTAAATAAAAATTCAAACGTAAAGAGGCTTTAACACGTAGTTCAATGGGGGAGCTAAGGTTGCCAAACTTATGGAGGGGAGTGTAGTTATATATAAAAAAAGGAAAATCTTTTGTGCATGAGACAGCCACATTATAAGTGATTTGATTAACTTAATTTCAACAGCCATCTCTGTAGAAATCTAAATTTGGATTAGAAATTGAAAAATCATCATATCGAGTGTATTTGCTAAAATAAGTAAACCCAGAATACTTGGGTCAATTCAGAATATTTCGGCTGGAGTCGGAATACTTGGGTAGCCCGGAACACTTGGAGCTTCACACACGGTTTGATCTGAGGCCCAGGGTTTGATCGAACCTCAAACCTGTGCTAAATTCTAGCACGGGTTTGATCAACCCCAAACACGTGCTAAACTTTAGCACGGGTTTGATCAACCTCAAACACGTGCTAAACTTTAGCACGTGTTTGATGAGTATCCGGCATCGAGTGCTTCTGGTATTACTTGTCAAAAAGTTTCGTATATACCTCCGGGAAGATGCTGTAAGTTTCTTATATTATACAAAATGTTGCAAGCTTCACGAAACGTACACGAAACGAACGTATCTTCAAGATATCAAATGGTACCGTCTCATGCGCAGTATACAATGTATAAGTTTCAAATCTATCGATACATCTAGTAAAACAGCATAGTGTGTCTTCTAACAGAGGGTTGCTATGTATTAATTACTTCAAGAAAATATTGAAAGCCCATGATGATATCCGAGGATGGTATAATATGTTTTCAGTGTAGAACAAACGTATCAATATTACATAATCAGAGTCAAATCGAACTTGAACAGAAATATGATATAAATTAGTCAATTAAACACATCGGGATGTTTGTTCAACTTAAAATAACAATACAGATGAAGTAAGAATCACTTTTTATTATTCATTCTTTTTGCAATCAACAACACTTGCAGTTTGATTTATTTACAACATAACTATAATTGTTTTTTTTTGTATCTGGGAACTTTATTTATACTGGTTATTACATTAAATTTACATGTACATAATACGAATGAAGGAATAAATAAATGCGAGGGGTAATTTTAAAAGTAATGGATAACATTTTATAGGCATGCTTACTCTCACCCAATATGTATGAAATTCAGTATATATGAAGATCGACCAATTAATATAAGTTGTGAAAACGGTATTACACCAATAGAAGGACACTTCAAGATATGGTACATCTCGCATATTAGAGTGTTTTAACCTTGAATTTGCTTTTAAGCATATTGCCATCATAATGACATGAATTTTCATGAAAATAAATCTTTTTCAATATTTGAAGATGGTAGCACAATAAGTTCTCAACATTCTATTCAATATATAAATCATCTGTAATGCTCTTGTTTCCTCCAATGTCAATTTAAGTTTGCTTCTACAAGATGAATATTGTTGTTATCCGTGTGGTCAGGGCGCCAAGTTTGCGGTCTTCCAGATCGCTAAAAAATTCAGTATCCTCTCATCACCTCCACCGAAGTGCTTGTACAGTGCTTGTACAATCTCTAAAGGCGTGTACGTTGAAAATGCCTTGTTTCTATATGAATGTTTGATTTCCCTGACAACAGCCTGCCTTGTGTCTCCATTTGCTACCAATTATACTTTAACAATTCCTTGACTTTAATTTGTTGTAAGTGACACATTTTTTCCTGGCGTTTCTTGGATATGTGTGAATCTTAGAGTCTGACTTACTTTCTGACTCACTGTGACTCAATATTCTAAAAATATTCATTGAGATGAAATACTGCACAATTTGTTGCTGAATTTACAACTCACCAACATATGAATGAATATAATTGATTTAGCATCTTATAGATCCATGTGGATTGAGCCATTGAAATTAAATCATACCAAATGACAAAAATATTCAATGATCATTTAAAATGGATTCCTCCCAGCCCATGCCTACCCTAGTTACCATGGTTATGCATAGTTAAAACAATGTTTTTGCATGCCTTAAAAGAATCATGGTCAGTGCAAAGTAACAACTCGTCTCTGCAATTCTAGTACTTTTAAATTTCAATTATCGACTCGAATATTTTGAATTTTTAGTGCCAAAGGCGATGCAAATGGCTTTACCCAATAAGGCTATCCCAACGGTATGTAATGGAGATATTTGTAAAATGCACTGTCGCTATGGACACCAAAAAGACAACAATGGATGCGACATATGTGACAAATGCAATATGGATCCATGTTTCGTAAGCTATTTTAATTTAAACTTTAACACAACAGTGACCTGTGAGTAAAACTAACGTTTTATAATTCCTATCGTATAATTTTATTAATATTCTTTTTGAATTTCCAAAATGACCAATGAATTAAAGGCATTTGTTGGTACATTTTGTTTGTGTTTTGTGGGCAAAGAATATTCAATTATATGAACCCTAATTTCCCAACAAATAACTTATAATTAAGCATTCTCTTGGAATACATTTATTGAATTCTTTTGGCGTTCTTTTCGATGGAAATTTAAAAAATCGCATCGCGACGGACTCAGGGACATTTCACAAACAATATACTAAGCTTGGCAACTATAACTAGAAATTGGAAATTGAAGTTCAATTTCAGACTCTAGATGACAGATTTTCACAGACAGACAGACAAACGGACGGAAAGACAGACGTGTGGGATAGGATAAAGAGGTTTTTCTCAATAAAGGATATCATCATCTAGATTTTCTAAAAATTTCAAAATGGCGTAGAATCTGAATCTGAAGCCAAATCTTAATGCCTATTTCAGATTCAGAATACTGAGCAAATTTCCTATCATTTTGACACCTCAAACAATTTGGCGAACTTTTTTTGTTGGTCTACTTTATGGACACCACATCTCAAAACTGGTTTAAGATACCTTATGACGGCGAAACTAAGACTTTAAGCCTATTCTTGTCTCACTGTACACACAATTTTAAAGAAAATTATAAAAGTATAGTGTGGTAATTGTGAAAACAAAGAAAATGATCTAGATTTTTAGCTTGACCCAAGATCTTCCAAAATTTTGACATGACTCATGATTTTTGGTCCGTTTAATCATGCTAACCTATTTTAAACTAAACGGAAACAATTTTGTTAATTTGACGATTTATTATTTTAATTTTATAGGTCATAGGTCCCGAACCGGAAGTCGCATTTCAATTTTGACTTTAGATTCGGAATCTTGAGACTTTGTAGATGATTTGAAAATATGGTCAAATTGAAAAAAAAATTGGTTGACCTACTTTCTGGACACCATATCTCAAAACTGGTTTTAGATACCTTATGACGGCAATATGACTATAAGCCTATTCTTGTCTATCAGTAAACAAAATTTAAAAGAAAGATTTGAAAGGACATATGTAACTTGTTAAACACTCGCACTTGTATACATTTCAATAATACGAAAAGAGGAGTCTGATTCTTTTATCCGTAACACTGAGTGTACAGTTACACAATGTTCAAATAACATCTTCAAATTCCAATTACCTATCGGCACGAGGGTATTAGCAGGGTTCTACCTGTGGTCGCATAAGTTACAAAAGTCAGGAATTAAAGGGCACTTCTACAAAATCATTAAAACAATGAATGAAAATGCCACGGCGTGTGTAAACCTTAATCACTCAACATATACGGAATCGTTTTCATGTGCTAGGGGTGTAAAACAAGGAGACTCGCTCAGTCCATTATTATTTAACAAATATATAAATATAAATGATATTATAAAATATAAGATAATGTTGGGAAATCTCCGTTCCTTGAAACTCAACATGTTAGCAGTTTGCTATTTGCAGACGATTTAGTCATATTTGATACTAGTAAAGAAGGAATGCAGCTAAAAGTAAACACTCTTGAATCCTTCTGTGTTGACTGGAAACTTGAAATTAACATTGACAAAACAAAAATTATGAAATTCTGGAAATGTGGCAAAGTTTGTCAAGAACAATTTCAAATAAATGGTAAGAATATACAAAATGTTCAAAGGTATACATATTTGGGAATTGTCTTAAGTGCTTCTGGATCTTTTAAACCGGCCCAACAAAACATAAAAGAAAAAGCAAATAAAGCCATGTTTAAAGTTTATCAATTGACAAGCGGCACAGAGATGAAGTCTTCACTGAAAATGAAATTGAATGATCAACTTTTCAAACCCATCGCTTTATACGGTTCGGAAATATGGTGTAATGATATATATACCAAGCGTGACTGCCAAACTAATCGAGATATTGAACAGAAATACGAAAGTGCTTTAATTGAAAACAATCATATTCGGTTCCAAAAATATGTTCTCGGGGTTCATAGAAAAGCCACAAACATGGCATTAAGAGGAGAATTGGGAAGAATACCTTTGGTAGTTGATATTATAAAAAGACAAATCAAATACCTCGGTCATTTAGAGTTGAGTTCAAATTTGAGTTTACTAAACGATTCATTAATTATGAGTAAAACATTTGATTTAACAAATAACACATTTACATGGCACAAACAACTCAAAAATATACTGTGCCATATTAAAAATGTCTGATGAATTGCATCTTGAAGATAATGTAAACATAGGGATGAGCACAAATAGGCTTGCTATTAAAGTCAAAAATAAATTAATAGAGAGATATCAAGTATATTGGAAGAATCTGATAAGTGGGAATGGGGGGAAACTTAGATTATTTAAACAACTAAAATCGCAGTTCGGATTTGAACACTACCTTTCAGAAACGACACTTTCAAACGCTAAAAATTTAACTAGATTACGTATAAGCGCCCACAATCTAGAGATAGAGAGAGGCCGATATACAAAACCAATCACTGATCTTAGTAGTCGATTTTGTAAAATATGTAAGGACTCGGTTATAGAAGATGAAACACACTTTTTATTCAAATGTAAAAAATTGGAGTTTATCAGAAAATCCCATATTGAAAAAGTTGAAAACCTGTGTAGTAATTTTAAAAGACATGAATGACCATCAAAAGACATTTTTTATTGACGAGTGAGGGGATCATATTAAAAGAATCTGCTGACATGATAAAAAAGTATCTAATGATTGGTAGAGACAGGATTCTTATATCAAAGTAACATTTTATATGTCATTTGAAGAATGTAATCCTATTTTCTTTACTTTATTGCTATATTTACTGTTATTGAAAATTGTATATTGGATGTACGCGTGGCCCTAAAAGGGCATCAGTACTAATAAAATCCTATTATTATTAAGAGAGCTTCGGAATGATATTAAACAAATACTGGATGAACAGGAGCTGGATATGGCACAATACCTATTCGAGAAAAAATATTGGACGAGGCGGCAGCCGAGCCCAATATTTTTTCGAGGATAGGTATTCTGGCCATATCCAGCTCCTGATCATCCAGTATTTGTTTTATTATGCACCTCCCAATCAAAGTTAAGTGGAGTACTTACTTACTTACCTCATTTACAGGCTTAAACTGTTGTTTAGTTGACATTATTTTGACATTTATTTATTTTTTCTTTCAAAACTCAGACGACTTCCGGCCAGTTTATTCGCTACATTGGACGAAAATATTTGCCCCGGGAATTTAATTTTTATTTATTCGAGACGTTCTTGCAGAATTATATGTAACTTTTGAATGATAATGGTAATTGTGATTGATTAAGTACATTTTTTTCTTCTATTTTCCGTCAGTTTCAGATGTAAGCTTTGAGTAGTACTCCAGTTATTAAGAAATAAAACTCTGAAGTGGGAATGTTGCAAAAACATTGAAAAAAATATCCGACCCTTTTTCTCGAAAGGGTCAGATATTAAAAAAATATCCGGCAGTTTTCAGAAAAGAGCAGAGTATTGCCAAATTACAAGCAAGAACCAATCAGATTTGAGTATTTTAATGAGGTGCATAATAACTAAAAATACCATTCTTATTTGAATGTAAATTGCACTTACTTTTACAGTCCTATAACTGTCCTGGAAATACAACCTGTGATGTGATCAATGGTACAGCAGGTTGCAAAAGTAAGTATGAAGAGTGGATAATATTGCCAAATAGAATTACCAACATGGGAATGAGGAAGCAGAATGCAAGATTGGGTAATTGGACGTATATATACTTCGACTTCATGTTTCGTACAGTGTACAAACATGGCACACGATTGGAAAAGATGGCGCGAGCGTAAATATGATGAAACTTAAGTAGTAGTATTTAATAGTATACCAAAAATATCGTTTTTAGTTTAACAAATCAAAACAAAAAAGGACCAACTGGAATAATCCAATGTCTCTATTCCTGGGGGTTAGAAGTCCATGAATGATGTAAGTACACGTTTCAGAATGCAGTCAAATAATATGTGAGATGTACTGCCAGTTTGGTTTCCAGACGGATAGCAATGGTTGCGAGATATGTAAATGTAAAACTAATCCGTGTATGGTAAGTGTATGGGACGTTGTTTCAGAGTTTTTATATGTTTACCAACAGCCCTACATCTTGATTCCAGTTTTTTTATCACGACGATAGTTTTCTAATGTATGGGTTTATTCCTGGGACGGTTTATTGTTTGGTAAATCAGTATAAATGTTGTATAACCTACAATAATTGATTATTTTGCAATTGTCTATAGGCTGATCCAAGCCCTTGTTCAAAGAGCAGCGCCAATCCCGTGTGTGTCGTACGAAACAATAAGGCAGTCTGTGAGAGTGAGTTGAGCTCAGTTATGTATCAATACTAGGGTAAAATCCATTGTCTACATGTGTTATTTACTTGGAAATACTAAAACCAAATGTTTCATTCATTGAGATGAATGCCTTTGTCACTTTCACACGTTATGTTCCATGAAGCCCAAAGGGCAATTGGAATATCATCTTGTGAAAATGACAAAGGTTTCACCAATAATATAAGTGTCAAGTCACAATCCTCAAAATTATTAATTCATAATCTTAAAGTTTGATATGATTTTGTTCTATATATATATTTTACTGTGTTGACAGAATGTCCTGGGATTTGCATGATGTCTTGTGAATATGGGTTAAAGACAGACAGTGACGATTGTCCAGTGTGTGAATGTAGAAGTAACCCGTGTACACAGGTAATAATGAACACATTGAATATACATGTAAATGGCGTTCGTCTAATTTTATTGGTATATAAACATATGCACGTTTATAATCAATAAGTATGAAATTACTACAAATAATACTACATATAATTTTGAATTTATAGACATTTAGACAAACCACTAATTAAGCTCATTATTTTCTTGTTTGCTAATTCGTTCTCTTTGAGTGAAGCAATACTAATTTTTGTGCATTTTAGTCGAAATGTCCATTAGACAGGCCGTATTGTGTTGTGGAAAACTACAAGCCAGTTTGTCAAAGTATGTACAGCCATACGTTTCAAAGATTAAACAGTATTGCTTAATTCGATACAATATGGCTTATTTTGAAAGTCAAGCAAAGATTAGAAAAGATTCATAAGAAACAGAAATTGATGAATTTTGAAATACAAGTATGCCCCTCAAATGACATCACAGCATAACCCTGTGACATCAGTTTTTAAATTTTATAAAATCTAATAAACTCTGCATTTAAATTAGAATAAATAATCTATCAAAATTATATTACACATGTGGGTAGTATGCGAGTTGACATTTTGTATTTTAGAATGCGGTCCCATCAGGTGTAGCATGTTCTGCCAATTCGGATTGGAGACGGATTCAGATGGTTGTCATATATGTAAATGCAAAGACCATCCGTGCATGGTAAGACATTCACACATAGCTAGCTAGGCAAGGTGTGTCCCATTCCAGCCAATCATATCACTGCATAACTGACATATATAAAGTGTAAGATTGACACTCAAAATAACATTCCATATTATTCAACAGATAAATGGCCATGGGTATTTTGATTCGGGGGAAATGATTACCCCTATCGATTTGATTCAAAATTTCATGCTGGATGTTTTTTCACTCCCCTACGCGCATATTACAAGTATTTTCGATGGAGAATGTAGAACTTTAGAGAGGAAAATGTGACAGATTATCATATCATGGTAGAAACATTGTATTCTGATTGGCTAGTGCAGTACCACGTGATAGAAATACCAAAACATATTTCACGCTTCCGGGCAAAACATAAAATAGAATATTTCCTTGAATCATTGCTATTATTCATATGCCATTTATTCATTCTCACTTTTAGAAAATGACTTGTCCTCCTTTATACATCTGTGAAGCTCAAAAAGACACAGCATGTAAGAAAGCCCATTGCCCTGCGATTGCCAAATGCAAAGGTATGTCCAGAAGACAGATATTTGTCTAAAAAGCACAAGCCAACGAGCAAATAATATTAAAATATAGATGAAAGTGTAATCAACCGATTTGTTTACATATCGTCTTTGATAGGATAATTAAAAAAACATGCTACCATATTTATACTAGCCAGAAATTGATTATATGTGCCTATAATTATTACGATATGCGAGTCGGGAGGGCCATATCCTTGTTGTTTATGTTCACGATGATCAAGAAGACATGGACCCCTAGCATAGTTAGAATCCACCCAGTGTTGTAAATGTACTTCTTAATCTTTACAGATCACCCCGCCTTAGCATGTGTACATCCAGAAAAAGATGCAACTGGAAGTATAAAAACCTGCACTGGTACTAAGAAGGTCAATTGCAGTGATGACTACACTTGTCAGATGTCCCGAGGCCATTTCCCGGATGTATGTTGTCCTCTGGCGCAATGTAGGTACTTCCATAGGCTTTACAATATCAATGAAATCGTACCTTCTCTTGACGGTTGCAATACTTGCTTCTGTATGGGTGACGGTAAAATTGGATGCACTACGAAGGCGTGTCCTAAAAGAGGCTGTGCCCATAATGGAAATAACTATATGCACGAAGAAAGTTTTCCTCGTGGCGACGGCTGTAACACCTGTAAATGTTCTGATGGGGATGTTGATTGCACTAAAGTCTACTGTGCCCGTAAGTTACACTGGTATTATTTTAGAATAAATATTGTTGATATTCCACCAAATAAACATACCAAGCAGGTGTCTAGAATCAGAAAGAAAAAGGAGATATTCTGGATCTCCAAGCCCTGCGATCGGATCAGCGCATTTATATTTTATTGGGGTGATGTTTCATTACTAGCGTCCTGCAGTATGTTCATGTAATAAACAATAGTTGATATTCTGTTTTGTAGTTTTACGTGAAAACGAGTAATCACAGGTATCTGAAAATATTATTTGTGTACGATGAACAAAATGTAAACGTTTATAACAGTCGGTATTTTAATAAACAATTCTTGAATGGTACGCAAAAGATTTTAGATAAAATGTCAGCCTTGCACAATTGCAAACCATTTACACAAAAGAGCCACCTACTCTTAACAACTTTTATAATTGTTCTTACAAAAAATGAATTCTCACATACTTGTTTTTGTTTTCAGACTGTGAGGAGAATGGTTTACTTTATGCTGTAGGTGAATATGTGAACCGAAATGACCCCTGTCTGATAGATCAATGCACAAATAATCCATTAGACATTACGAGTGCTAAAATCGTGTGTGCCGTCAGATATAGTTGCACCCAAGTTCCGGGCCTCACTCCTTAACTTTCACCCAGTCCTGACAGGTGACTCCAAGACTGTATCGCACAAAGATATTTTGGACATTTGGAATTTGAAAATGGAGCTCAGGAGAAAATATTCACAAATTTAAAGAAACTTAAAAAATTAAAATTAGTGCCTTACAGAATTAGATTAGTGGAAGATAATGAAACTCCGCAAAATGTATTAACATTGTATGGATGTCATCTTATTTTGAGTTCACGTTGGAAAAAGCACCATTTGTATGATTTTAATGCATGTGAGAGACTCACTTTTCGAGGAAATCTTAATTCACACATCTCTCAGCATCCCAGTGCCCGCTAAAATGCATTAAAAAACATGGAAAATATACAATGGGTTATTACTTCTTTCTATTACTAAAAGCTTCTTCTAAACATTAAATTCTGAAAGGGAAAGGGTGTTTAGAGCTGGGTTATATATTTCATTCTGAAAATGTTTTAAGAACTCGATCGGTTTTGCATACTTTTGTTGGAAATCCCAGCTTTGCATTATATGCAAAAACATGTTCGTGTTATTTTTAATATTTGTTTTGGAGTATTAAATTAATCATATAACACTATTAACCTCAAACAGGACATTGATATTATCAAAAGCATTTAATCTGACTATCAAAATGAAATATTAGATGTATGTTGATTCAGAAAAATACCTAAAATCAATAGAAATTTGTAATGTCAAATATTATGTAATGATGTCAAGGGACCCGGTAGCTCTGCTAGGGAAAGAATTTTTAAAATGGCAGTTGGAATTCAAAATGGCCGCATTCTGAGTAAAATAATGTAATCTTCGATTACTCAAATGCTAGTGAGATGGATTTGATTCAGATTTTATATGCAGATGCCTCAAGACAGAGGAACTCTTCTTAAGAATTAAAGATGGCAACAAATTTTGGTACAACAACGTAATATTTGATAAACCATAACCGTAGACGGATTTTTTCAAATTTTATATGTTGATGCCCAAGGACAATGGATTTCTGCCAAATAAGAAATTTTCAGAATGGCCATTGAATTTTAAAATGGCTGATATTTTACTAAAAAAACATAATATTTAATAACTCAAAACCATGGTAAAATGTACAGTTTACATTTTATAATCTAATGCCTAGGGACACAGTAACTCTGAATTTTCAAAATGGTGGCTGGATTCCAAAATGGCCGCCATATTTTGGAAAAAAACATAATCTTTGATACTCAAATACCAGTAGATGGATTTGGTTCAACTTCTATATGCAGATATTACCTAGGGACAAAGGAGCTTGCCACAAATTAAACAAAATGTGTTTTGTTAGGTTGTTAGGCTGATTCTATGATGGATTGGTTGCTTCCATTTCTGTAAAAATAACCTCTTTTTAACATGCGTTGAATGAACTGCCGGGCATCATCATCGGCCTTAAAGATATCGATCCATTCCATGCATATTTTATTGAAGGTTACTATATTGAAGAAATCGTCCAATTTTTTAAATGCATATGCATAGAAATATTATTCTCATAGTTTATGTGTTTTTATACACTATATTAAGGATGCTTAAGACAATATGTTACTCCCATGCAAATACTGTGATTAGTTATTCAGGTTTTTGTACTTTTGGGTCTTATTTTATTGCCACTGATCAATAAGTATGCATATTCGATCATATAAACAAGTTTAGTAAGTTTTATATAACAAGCTAGAAATTTTTGGAAATGACCCCCGGCGTCTGTACGTTAACAGAGTAAGTGTAAAATGCACTTCGCTCGCAGGATCTTTTGATCTAGCGCATGGATTGACCTGATTGACCTGATTTTTTCCATAGAGATTAAGCATATCCTTCCCCACAAAAATGAGTATGATCGTTAAAATCGGATCATTAATAAAGAAATGAACGCTGGAAAACTGTTAATTTCGATGAATTTTTTGTTTCCCGCATTCATACAAACAAATCTTCAATTTAGCACGAATTGACGCAAAATGCGTTCGAGGCAATACTAGAGATACCAGAAAATGATTTTATGCGAGCACATTTTCGATTTATAGCCCTAATTTTTTATAATTACTTACCGCATTTGACTATTGACAAAATTTGGAGTTTTAAAGATGGCTACGTTAGCGCCAATGTGAATTGACCAATAGGACGTCGCTCGTAACGTAATCCGGTAGAGATTTTCAACAATTTCCGGTCAACGTGAAATTCCAGTTTTCTGTACATTTCGTCGTTGTTCTGTCTATTTAACGATGAATCTTGCCGTATTTGAGTTGATAGATCGATACTTACTATCAATAAGCCGTTCCAAGTACATGCCTGATTTATTTATGGACGATAACGACGACTAGTTTGATGGAACAATTTGTTTGATTTTTGCTGAAAATCCAATCTCAAGCCCGGGTCTCAAGCAGACACAAGCAGCTTTACACTGAGGTAAATTAGTAAATAAAATACAATGTAATATTAATACGAGATATATAATGATATGATTATCCCATATTGAATTAATTGCATAACAATATTTCAGTCTTCCTTTGAACCCTTGACACTGTATGGAAATATTGGTCTACATATTGGTCAATTAAAAATGACTGATTGGGAAAAGACCAGGGGTTTATGCAAGACTTGTTTTTCATGTCAGTCATCGGAGTGTGACATTTACTTTTTCAAAATATACATTACTCATACCAATATACAGGCAGTTCCATTTAGGTGCAGAAACTCACTTTAATCAATAATAGCGATAAATTGTAGTAGTTATAAATTAGTCGATAAATTTGATAATCATCAATTATCGATAAATTTGGAGTATGGAATAACCTACAGAGCACATATGAAATTAACATTATCAGATATTATTGATGAATTTGATATTTATCAAAATTAGCGCTATCATCAATATTATCTGATATAATCAGAAAAACTAATTCAGATCAGTCCTGAAATTTTCTAACATATTGCAATAAAAGCGATAGTTTTAATAAAAATGAAATCATTCCTATACACTATTATTTTGATAATTATCAAATTAATTAATATGATCTGATATTACCAGATCAGCTAATTTCACTTGGCCTTGTTCTTAGTAAAACTTGTCTCAGACCAATAAATTGTATTGATAATAGCAATAGTTTTTACATAAATGAAATTACAGCTGGCTAGTAAACAATTGATCAATATATCTACTGTCATGTATTAATGTTTTTTCAGATTTTTTGATCTTATCACAAATTGAGAAATGTTTGTCTTGTTCATTTGATGTGATGGGAAGCTAGATATTCTAATTTGAGAATACACTTTTAAGTCATTGAGCTTTCAGATCATTGGACTTATACGTCTCGTTTGAAATATGCATCATGTACATGTAGAATGGTGTATGATATGAACATTCATTTTCCAATTCCAGGATTTCTCCAACAATGCATCATCTCGCCCTCTGAAAACTTGGCAATCCTGGCTATGCAGTTTGAAAATCATCTACTGGAAAATCAGCAAATGAAAGTGACTCCGCACCAACCTTGCCAATTCATCAGTGTACAGTATTCAGTACGAGTAGGCCTACTTGTAAGTGCAGTTATTTCACAAGGTTTGTTTCCAAAAGACTAGATATAAACTTTTCACTAATTTTTTTTATAAGAACATGAATATCATATAGAAACGTAAATACTGTGGAGTTTTTATAGATCATTTGACTTATACAATTTCCTTTGTGTATTTCTGAGTATAAATTTTTATTTTATTAACATTGTTCCAATGGCCGATAATGTTGACTTATCAACAATGGCAAATTGTTCATATGTATTCTATTGTATTGATTATTAGAAATAAATTTGAATTCTGTAAAAAAAACAAAAACATTTCCTTTGAAATTATATACATAATATACATTTTACCATTCCAGGATTTCTCAACTGATGAATCATCTCAACCTCTGAAAACAAATTTTATTCCCATTACGTACATGTACATGGCAATCTTGACAATCCTGGATATGCAGTTTTAAATATATGGACCACTGGTGGTGATGGTGCTGGATCCAATAAACAATGATTATTACGGTACATTTTCCAAAAGACTAGCTTGCCAATGACACAACAAAAACCATAGACTCGAGCAATAAAATCTAAAGCTGTATGCCAAAGATACATAGTAATTATGTACAGGGTGGTCCAAAAAAATGGGACACTCGTATTTCAAAAATAAATATTGATTTTCTTGATGAAAACATGTCATATTATATACCAGTGGATAGGGAATTTACTGATCTTTAATTTGGTATATCATAAGTTCAAATTTATTATAATGTCTGTCAACCAGCGTCCATAATATAAATGACGTCATTTTCATAAATTTGAACTTATGATATACCAAATTAAAGATAAGTAAATTCCCTATCCACTGGTATATAATAATATGACATGTTTTCATCAAGATAATCAATATTTATTTTTGAAATACGAGTGTCCCATTTTTTTGGACCACCCTGTACTATCGTTCAGAATATGGATATCTGGATGAAATGGTGACAGTAAGAGCATATGTAAAGTTACCGATAATATGTTTATGGTTCTAGTGGATTAATTTGAATGAAAAGAGATTGAAAGAGATTCTGATACACTGCTACATCTAGCATCCTGTTATCGAGAAGGATACATCCATATAGTAAGCTGTCCAATGAAATTAATTTAAAGCTACATCAGTCAAGGCTTTTGATTTCCTTGATCTTTTCCTACTTAATTTTCACTAAATTTCATTTTTTCAGCTTATTTTTCTAATTTCTTTTATTAAATAAATGAAACTAATTCCTGGGAATTTTGTATTTCACGAATTAGAATTATTGGAACTCTGTGGTTATTATATTTTGTGAATTTTCCACAACTCGTTAAAGCGCAAAATATAATACCATGCAAAAATTACCAGGAGTACAGTATTCATAAACCCTTGCTTTTCTAAAATTATAGTGGTTTGTAATTCTTATGATTAACAATTGTAAAGAATATGTGCATATTTTTTTGCCATCATTATTGACTTGAAACAATATCAGAGGACGAGGTCTTAGATTTTGTCAATTATAAAAAGTCTGCGAACTAGACTCTTGATTTGAACTATGTTCAATATCAATTTCACTCATCTTTGATCTCG